ACAATAATCAACACGGCACAGAACTTTCTCCCTCACCACCAGTGTCACCACCCCCCCTCCTCCCCTGGTGTGGTGCGGTGCTTCGTGGCTCCATAATCGCTAGTAGTAGTAATGATTATTATTTCTTGCCAACGTCTGCCAACGTGCTATCCTTAAAACCGCGGTGACGACGCCGCATCTCTTGACCGTATTTTGAAACCTCCAATACGATCGGCAATGATCCAATCCGCCGTATCCACCTACGCCGAGCTTGACAGTGACTCGCACTCGTACGTGCACTGGTCGGAAACTAGTCATTTGTCTGAGTAGTTGTGGGCTGTGCAATCCTCGTAATAGGCAGGTACATGACACTGCCGTATCAATCCCTTCAGCCCTGTGCGGAGGTTCTCTCGAGTTTCGAGTCTCGACCCCTGCACGTCTGGGCATGGATGGGCTTTTCTGGACGGCCCCCAATTGTCCAGCAGTCAAACAAAGTGGACTTCTCGGTACCCACCTTGCGAGAGAATGCACCAAAGTCTTTACCTGGGTATTCGTATCTTCATTTGACGGAGCCAGTCATCACGATCGTCCATCGCCCGTTTGTTTGCTATTGGGAGTCATTAAACCGGAGACGTATTCTCATCGAGACCCTCCCTCGTGGCGCACGCCCCGGGCTACTCCAACTCGTTCTCGTCACCATCGGCTGACCATGACCATGACCATACCACGGCTTGCAACGGGTAGGAACCTCGATAGACGACAAATCATGTCACCGGCCACGGAAGACATTCCCTTTTGGGAACACAACATCGTGCAGACATACGCGGCGGCTGCACAGTGTCACAAGCTTGGGTAACCGGTGTGCTAGGTAGAAAGCAGAGAGATGTTAGTAAGAAGGGGGCGCAGTATGAGGAGCAGGAGCAGGAGTAGGAGTAGCCGCTTTGAGCCCCTGCAACGCAACCCGATGACCTTCGATGCCTTCTCTGCGCAATCATTTTCCGACGCTTGGGACGGTTGGGCGCTTGGACGCTCCAACGGACAAAAGTTGTACAATGTCCGTCCGAACTGTTTGTGGCACGAGGCGGGGAGTAAAAAGGTTGCTTGATGTTACATTGCTATCGCCTATCCCACGATTGGGTTGGTATCTCGTCGGGTCCCGTTGGCACTGGATACTGGGCATCCAAAAGGACAAAACCTTCGATTCAAGGCAATTTCGACCCAACCGTGTGCGCTTCCTCTTGCCCTAGCCGCTTGGCCAACGATGCATTTGAAATGCAGGTGTAGATGCAGCAGGAATAATACCAGTACAAGTATTCTTCTTACAAGCTGAACGAGTCCCCCCCTGGCCGACCCACGAGTCCCGACCAGCTCGAAAATAATGATGATAATGATAGGCTGATCATTCTGACAAGGACATGGGGGACGATGAAAGTGATTCGGTTGATGGTTATGGGATTATTCCATCCTTTTCTCTCCCCCCTTTTGAAATCAACTTTCTCTATACCTACGATTACCATTATACTCGTGGGTACCGTATCGAGTACCGAGCACGCACGGGCAATTCCGCACCCACCACTTTTCCCGACTTGTGTAGTCCGTCCCAGCCTCTACCTGGTCTGGTAACGGGGGAGGGGGGGGTGGAGGGGACGAAGAGGAGCCTGGACCTGGACTTTGTCGGAGACGATAGCGTTTGGACACCCGTGGCGCACAAAAACTAGAAAATAACTGGGTCGCAAACTTCCACGGAAAACACATTCAACAAGGGGCCCCAGTTTCATCGTCACGGCGCCACAAATGCTACGAGGAAACCAGCCCGTTTTGAGTACCGGCCTCCTCGTCTATGATTTGATCGCAACATTTTTACACGCTTGCCCGTGCCCGTGGCCCAGGGCTCGGAGACAAATGATCCCTTTCTGGCCCCCAAAACCGGGTCTCGCTCATCAAATCTCTCCATCCCGCCTTGTGCCCACATGTCCACCACCCCCTTGTCTACCTACTTTCCCCTTGTCCACCTATCAGATCAAAAGCAAGAAGGGTGTCTCGTTATGGTTAGAGCGCGAAGAGAGGGGTCGTCTTCTGCTCCCTTCTCGTACGAGTGCCGCATCCCCCAACGGGCAAAGCTTTGATCCACTCCATCATTCCAGAAAAAACAAACGAAAGGAATTATCAAAAACCAAACCGGCGATGTTAATGCCGAGGCCGAACCCGAGCCCTGCGCTGCGCTGTGACTGCACTTGGTGCTTCCATTATTAAAAATCCTCCTGCGTTGTTGCGCACCACTTTCGCCTAGCAACGTCGAAGCCGAATCGTCCGCATGTCCTGTTCGAGTCCGTACAGACTTCGCGTGACGACAAGCAGGTGACTGATCGATCGGCATGGGGTCACTCATGAAGATGCGTGTATCCTAGGATGCTCACTCTCCTCGGGGATCAACGAGTCATGCCGATGAAAGATATGCACAGGGACGATTCGACGACAAATCTCGCGCAGATGATTTGAGGGAGCAGTGCCCGACGGGAAAGAGCCCGACATGAGCGAGAAAACACCAATATGAGATACGCGGTCCTGCGCCCGCCGCCACCAGGGCAAGCACAGAACCCTGGATGGTTTGGAAAATGGGATGGTGGTGTATCTCCTCCACTCCCCAAAAACAACAAAGCTTTGGTTGAGCGACCCAAGAGGGCTGTTGCGCATGCCTTTCTTGACTCTTTTTGGAATTATGTTGACTTGATTAGACGAGCCCAGCATAGCAAAGTGGTCATCAAGTCGCAGGGCTCTGGAGTTTTAGCGACTGCGTGGGTTTTTAGTCAGGGGAACGCCAGCTCGCCGGTGAGCACTACGTCTCCCAAGTACCGAGTGCGTGTGCCGACCGAGCAGCACCCAAACAATCCTCGTCTCCTTCTCGCCTCGTCCCTCTGTCCCATACCATGACACCGAGCATGTGGGCACACAGCGGAGCCGCGTGATGATAGCCGCCGTCGCCCGTGGATGGGGGATTAGAGGCAGATATCTCGGTAGGGCGGGTTTCCAGGACCTCCACTCGCGTCACCAGCGTGTCTCGCTTGCTTATGTGAACGAGCTGGGGTGGCCCTAGCTGGACTTTTACTTGTACAGCTCCAAGAAGCACCTTTTGCAATCAAATTACCCAGAAAGGCAACGGGGCCCAAAGGGAAAAGCTGTCGCCGACTCGCTGATTTGACGTTGGGCTAGGGTTTCGATGACCTGCGAGTGTGCGGCGCCATTTTGGATCGAGACAAGAATATATTCGTGTACCTTGCCACTCTGTTCCTGTTGACGACGGACAGATCGTCAGGGAATAAGAAAACTCAGACTATGGCTCTAGCTAGCCTCCGGACAGCTATTTTTTCTTCTTCATCATCATCATCATCATCATCATCAGCCTCTTTTTAGAGGTTCCTCCCCGGTCGACAACTATTTTACCTACTTGTACCAAGTATATGTGTTTCAAGACGCGTTTTGACGGTCCATGGCTGACTGTACTGCCATTCCCCGAAAGGCGGCATTTGGCGGCTCTCATCCCGCCTCCGCTCCCTTTTTTGGTGGTGCCGGGTGCGACTAGTCAATCCTACTCGCTTACCGCATGCAGGTTCTGTTTTCAGTCCCTTGTCTGTCATGTCTGTCATGTCATGTCTGTTATGGTAGACAGAAAGTCAAGGATCGGGCCTTGAGACCAGCCGGGCGCAAGCCGGTCGTTAAAGGTCGGCGGAAAAGGCAGGTGGTGGGGTTAGAGAGACAGAGGAGAGAGACACGCAAGGAGACGCACACAGGCGGAGAAGGGAGATTGTTTACGAGTATACGAGTATACGAGGCACAGGTAGGTATTTTCAACCAAATGGTCCCCGACGGCAGATGACACGGACGGACGCGGCAGTGGCAATTACTGAAGGAAGTGTCAGCAAACAATGATACTCGGGAGGCACATAGGAGGAGCCTGGACGGATCGACGGACCGGCCACCCTCCCTCCAACCCAGCTCAGTGAATGAATGAAAGAGTGAGTGAGTGAATGGTAGGAAATATCCAATTTTCAAGGACTACATGGTTCTTGGTGCTCGCTGTACCGCGCGCACGAGTATCTACCTACCTACCTATGGACAAACAAACAGAAGGTACCCATCTATCTACGAGTAGTACCTCCTGTACTGACAGAATCTACTTCCCCCCGTACCTACAGTACATACAGTCCCTCAAAGCGCCTGAATACCTACCTACTCACAGTACCTGTCTACCTGTCTACCTACCTCTCTATCTACCTATCCACCTACCCTGCCCACAGAACCTGCCTGTATATACAGTTCCTGAATACCTACCTACCTCCCTACCCGTCCAGACAAGCAGCCACACAGGCGCAGAGACCCCGAGTACTTACTTACAAGATTCATCGATGACCACTTTGCAGGTATTAGAGACCAAGTCTTCGGTATTATATGTCCTAGGCAACTCGGTTTTTCGGGTCCTTCAATCAGGAGTTCGACCGGATGGGTCCTTGTTTTTTTTTTTTTAAAAAAAAAAACCAAAACAAAAAACTACTGAGCGCTGAGGTTGTGGTTAAAGCTGAGGTTCAGAGAAAAAAGGGAATAGGGACAAGGGACAAGATGACGACAATGACAAGCACATTGATTTACCTGGATGGATATGGATGGATAGGGATCTAGATGGTCGGTCATGGGGTATAGATGGATATCAATGACTTGTCAAGCTGTCGTCCGATTGATTTCCACTCCATGAATGATTTCCGAGAGGGAAGCTGCTGAACTTGAGTCTGAAGCTGAGGACGAGGACGAGGACGAGGACGGATTGCCCTCCCTTCTCCCAAACCCAACCATCGCTCCTTGATATTTTAATTCATATATACGAGGTCATGGTTACGGTGATGGTGATGGTTATGTGCCAAGTTTAAAGTATTTCTTGCCTTTCCATCCGTTCCTCTTACTCCTCCTCTTCTCCCTGGAAGCTCTAGAGCCATCTACTGTAACTTATGCTTACGCCGCGTGAATTCTCGTCATAGCTTGGCCTTGCCCGGTGACGACTCCTGCAACTTCTTGACCAAGCTATACGCCCACTCTCCAAATAGAGGCATCTGCGCACCGTAGTTTCTGGCCGTCACGCCGCTAGCCTGCCGCCGGGCGTACCTCGCCGCGATGCCCTGCATGATGATCGCTCCCCGGAACCCGCCAAAGGCGTTACCCCAGGCGAACTCGCTGGCGGCGTCGTAGCCCGAGGCTTCGGCGTACCACTGCACGACCTCGTCGCAGGTGGGCAGCCCCGGGGTGACGCCGTCCCTGAAGGCTTCGTTCCCGCTGTCGGCGTGAGCCGTGCCCAGGTTTCTCCCGACCCAACCCCACGGCGCCGCCAGGTTGACCAGATCCGACAAAGGATGGCCGATAGTGGCCATCTCCCAGTCCAAGATGCCAATGACACGCGGCTCCGTCTTGTGGAACACCAGGTTGTCGATCTTGTAGTCGCCGTGGATCAGCGTGACGCGGTCCTTGGGCTGCGTCGATTTTTGCTTGAAAAAGGCCACCATCTCGTCAAAGTGCGGGATCGCGCCCACGGGCTTCTTGGTCTCGACGTCGACCGCCTCGGCCTGCACCTTTGACAGAGTCCCAAACGTCTTCAGCTGGCGGTCGTAAAAGTTTCCGTGCCGCCCAAAGTCGGAGAGGCCGACCTTGTTGAAGTCGACCCGATGGAACTTTGCGAGCGTGCGAACCGCGTCGTGCCACCTGTGTAACAAGTGCGAACGTTAGCACCTTTTTTCATTCCCTTTTGTCACCGCCGGTTTCATCCCAGCCCTTACATTTCTCTTCGCTCTTCGGGGCTGAACCCAGGAAAGTGCGGCTCAGTCACCATGCGCCCGTCCAAAAACTCCATGATGTAAAAGGCCGTGCCGATGACATTGTCGTCCTGACACAGGCAGTAGACCTTTGGCACGGGCACGTCCGTTTTGCCCAGGGCGTTGATGATCTTGTACTCGCGGTCGACCTGGTGGGCGGTTCTGGAGAGCAATTGCCCCGGAGGCCGCTTGCGCATCACAAACTTGGTTCCCTTGGAGTCGGTGATCTGGTACGTGGGATTCGATTGACCAAACCCGAACTAATGGCGAAGGAACCCGTCAGTGACCCAAGAACCCAACACAAAAGTACTCGGTCGCCAGGGATCAAATCCAGCGAGCGCGCGCGAGGAGGGGGACAGACATACCTGCTTCAACTCGAGGGGCGGCTTGATCTCGGGGACATTGCTGTCGATGTACCGCTCCAGAGAAGCCAGGTCAATCGGCTGCCGCACTGGGCCTGCCATGGCTGTCCGTCTAGCTAGTTGTCGAGGCAGACAGATAGACACACTAGAGTAACAGACAAACGAGGGCCAGTTTTCAAGAAGCACTCATTATCGAAAAAAGAAAACAAAGCTGGACAAATGTCGGCGTGGCTTTTCGTTGCTGGCTCACTGGGGCCGACCGTCACCAATGAGGCCGAGGCCATGATCAATTACCTCGGTTTTGTAGTTTGGGGTGCAGAGGCACAGAGGAAGGGAAGCCACCGGAATTTGGTCACGGAATAATAGCCATGGCACTAATATCGGCCTGGGCGGCTTTACGGAATTCCATTCGCGACGAAGCGAGGGCAAGGACTGTACGGAGGACTACAAGTGCCTGTACGGCGCAACATTTCCATGGAATATGTCAATTGCCACGATTGCCCCTGCGGCCCTGCCCCCCTTGAAGCGCAAGCACGCGCTCCCCACGCGTCGAGGGGTTTCGCGCTCTCCAAATGTGTGGTTTCGCGTCGAGGCGTTTGCTACCCATTACTGTCATTTTCCCTTCCTCAAACAAAGATCTTTTCCCTGCAAAAGCAATGACGAGACCCTCGACTCCTCCTCCATCCACAGAAACAAAGAAGACAGACCACTTACCACCTTCACTGCCCAACTCTCCACTACTCAAACGTGTCAAGTCCGACGCTCCTCCACCCAAGATGTCTCCCACGACCAACTCCACGGCAGTGCCACAACTCTCCTCCTCGTCGCAGCCGCCCCTCTTGATCAGGAAGCTATCCGCCGACGCCTCCACGCCGACTCGCGGCTCCGCCTTTGCCGCTGGGTACGATCTGTACGCCTCGAAACCCATCACGATCCCCGCGAGAGGCAAGGCCCTGGTCTCGACGGACCTCTCTATCGCCACGCCCGAAGGCACGTACGGCCGCGTCGCGCCCCGGTCGGGCCTGGCCGCGAAACACTTCATCGACACGGGCGCGGGCGTCATCGACGCAGACTACCGCGGCGAGGTCAAGGTCCTGCTGTTCAACCACGGCGAGGCCGATTTCCAGGTCAACAAGGGAGACCGCATCGCCCAGTTGGTCCTGGAGCGCATATACACCCCCGAGGTCGTTGAGGTCGACAATCTCGAGGAGAGTGTCCGAGGGGCAGGCGGGTTTGGGAGCACCGGCTGAGCTGTTTTCGTCCGTCTACTGATAGCGAGCTCGGATTCGGATCGAAAGAGGAGTTTGTCGGCGTCTTTTGCGGCAAGCTTTGGCGAATGCGGTGCGGTGCGGCACAGGAAAATCCATGGCAAACACTAGAATAGGCTAAGAAACGGGAGTTTATGATGTTATGTGTGATATCTGCACCCTGTGTAAGGATAGGAGTTGTCGGGTCGCTCGAGCAAATGGAGGGATATCATACCCAAATGCCCGCGCCTCTTGGGACAAATGCAATCAACCCCCCAAATCTTGCATCTTTTCTCTTATCCGTTCCCCTGCTTCCACATTCTCTTGGATAGACAGGCCACCCATCTACCATCTACACCTCGATTGGCTGAACCTTGTACCGTTCCTCTGGGTAGACCAAGTCCTTTGCATTCCTCACCACGCGCACCTCGGCGGCCTTGCTCTCAGCCAGGGCCCTGCGCTTGCCCTCACCTTCGGTTTCGCCCTGGCCCTCAAGGCCGCCGACGCTCGCGCCGGGGCTGGAGCCGAACTTGGCCATCTCCTCGTTCCGCGCGGCCATGGTCTTCTCCAGAATCATGTGCATGCTGTTCAGCACCTTCTCCGTGGCGCGGGCGAGCGGGAGGTCGACGGCCTCGACGTCGTCGTCGGGCATCCACGACGGCCGGTCCAGCAGGTTCATCTGGGCGCAGGCCTCGCGCAGCCGCGCCACCATCAGCGCCGCAAACATGTCGCCCGTGCCGCTGAAATAGCACTCGAGAACCGGCACCTCGACCTTGAATAACCGCGCGCTGCCGTCTTGCCGCCGAGTGCTCCCCACCACGGTCAGTGCGGCTCCTCTCTCATCGCTCTCCTCGGCAGTGGGCGGTGCGGAATCGCCCACCCTCACGCTGGTCACCACCACGTGCCGCGTCCCATGTATGACATGCAGCGCTCTCACCGCGTTGGCCACACCGCTCAAGCTCGAGATGGTCACGCCGCTGAGGAGTTCGGCCTCAAACTGGTTCGGGAGTATCAGGTCGGCCTCCTTGATGAGCTGCTTGTATGCGGGCACGATGTCCTGGCTGACGTAGAGTCGGCCCTGGTCGCCCATCACGGGGTCCAAGACCCAAAAGAACCCGCCTGGACGGACGGCGGCGCGGTACCGGAGGTCGCGGGCGATGGTGCCGACGGCATCGACGACTTCGGCAGAGGGTGAATAGCCCGATAGCAGTACGTCAAAGTCGGTCAAGTAGGATTGCCGCAGACCATCATACAACTCGCGAATTTCGGCCGCGGGAGTCCTCCGGCCCTTGAATTGGCGATACCCTGTGTGGTTGCCTTTGGAGTAGGAGCAAAGAGTTATGGTCAGACCAATGCTCATGTCAAAAGGAATGGCTGATGGATTATGCAGAGAGAGAAGAGGCGACCTGGCCGACTCGGGGTTGGCGATGGAGGGCAGGACGAAGGGATTGTTGTCGTCGCATAGTTCGATATCCCGTCGCAGATGTAGACCATGCCAGGAGAACAAGGGGACAGGAAAGAACAGTAACTCACTGAAATGCACAGTATTGATGGCTCCAACGTCGCAACCGAGCGCCTGCATCACGAAGGTGGCCATCGTATTGCCGACATAGCTGAACAAGACAGACAATCCGCCAGATACCGTCAGCCACTGACTTTGATCCCGATCTTGACTTTGCATAGAGGCCACACAAGATTCCGACGGAGCAGCAGCAGCATCATAGTGACCATCCCATAGCAATCTCATCGCTTTGGTCCCCGTGGCTGAGGCGCACGTGCGTAGTGACAAAGACGGAAGAAAGAGGAAAAAAGTCTTCGCACCGAGACAGAAACTCACCCGTAGACGACCTTGCACGGTTTCATCCTTGTCAGCCCATCGATCTATCCGACTGACCCGGTTTTCTGGAACCCTAGCCAGCCGACCAGCCAGACTCATATCGTCTCGCAACGGGACTTGAAAGCGCAGAACAAGGGGGGGAGGAGGGGAAATCGGGATTGAGCCCGCCAGATAAACGTGAAGCATGGGAGCAGAGGAACAAAGAGTCAACGTACATGGCTCGCTATGGCCAGAACTTTTGTTTCTGGTATCGACATTTCACAGGACGTCATCGCATCTTCCTCGAGGTTGCGGCACGATAAGGGAGTGGATGGGTGAGGGAGGTCTTCCGCAAATCTCAGGAAAGGATCTCTGAGGGTATTGAGTGAATGAGAGGTATGGCGTTAGAGAAAGGAGATCCGTTCGTCCTTCCTTGCGTCTGTCGCCTCTAATAATCTATCGTGAGAACAGAAATAGTCAAGAGTGTACAAGAGTGACCCCGAAACATTGGATCTGTGGCTATCCTCGGATATGTGCATGTAATATCAATTCAAAACATTTTTTTGGCTGAGAAAAAAAAGTATGACATCAACCCCCCCTTCTCCGTCTCTCCATCCCACCAGAGCCTCGCCGCTCAATGCCGATAAGGGTTTACGAGCGTTACAAATTATACCAAGTACATTGAAGGGACCTTACAAACTCCTCAATTCCTTTAAACGTGAACATGCTCATATGTGTCATCTGTAAATGAAGCTAAGCACATTTAACTACAGTTTTCAGTAACAAACTTGTCCCGGCACCTTGAATTCAGCCCCTCCTAACTGATCCTCAAGGGGTTTCTAATTGATCCCCATAGAATACAATCAGAACTACAACGAAGCATTCGGTTGGATGGTGATGGATTTGGATCTGGAACGAAGATGCCACCTCGAACCTCAAGGGCCGACACGACCTTTATCCATGGGATTGTGACATGGGAAATGAGTTCTGTATTGAACGGACTGGGTGCGGCAGTGGCTGACGGCCATCCCATCATACATCCTGCCCGTGAACAGACCCTGAAACACAAGCCGGGATTGTCCTTGATAATCTGCGCAAAAATCCGTAACAGCCCCTACCACCATTGACCGCATCGCATTGTCGTAAATCTGTGACTCCATACAAGCATTTGCCGTGGTCGCCCTAAGTATTCCTCGTTCACTCATCATCACCAATCTGTAAAACACCCGAGTCAGTGCCTGGATGATTGCGCACGGCGTCTTGCTGGAAAAGCATACCTTGGGGGCTAGATAGAACCGCAGATAGCTGCTTCCCGACAGGTTGTATTCCACCAAGAGAGGCACTTCCTGGGAGAGGCAGAGTTTGACCTTTGTAGAAAGACTGCTCGCTTTGCAGAAATTGACGAGGTATTTGAGTGAAAAGGTCAGAGAGACAGGTTCGCTCAGGGCGATCTTTACTTCTTGATCTGGTTTGTCCACGGATGAGTTCTGTCGAATGGTGACGCTGCCGCTGCCGATGTCACCTTGACACGAAAAACGGACGCCGTCCTTGCTTGCTTCGATCGACACTGTATAAAATCAGCATGAGTGATTTTTCTTCTGGTCGTGTCCAAATCTTGTCGCCATGCCACGTACCTGACTCCGACATAGCGATCAAATCGCGGCAAATGCGCTGGAATTCGGCACTCGGCATCTCGATCGTAGCTGAATATTCAGTGTCGGGGATTCCCAGATGCTCTTGGTCAATGTCCATCAACTTGATATCGTATTCGCTAATACGATCCGTGTCGCTACTCTCAAAGACGAGATTCACAACGTCGGGAGAGTCTTCGGCCTTGATGGTGAGGATGTCTTCGTTCTGGGCGGCACGGATGACTTTGGTCAGGGAGTTGAGGTTGATGCCGAGGGCTATGTTGCGGTCGCATCGGTAGGGAGAGAACATCTCTGCTTTGAGCATCATGGAGACGAGGGCGACGTGCGAGTTGTCCATGGCCTGCAGCGCGATGCCGGAGTCATTGCAGTCGAAGTTACAGTCTTGGA